GCTAATCAAACCACAGAAAACAAGACAGCGAGCGAGCGAGCGAGCATACGCACCCAGATAGAGCGGCGAACTCTTCGGCGTCACGTTGTCGTCGATGTAGGGAAACCCGAGCGTGACGACGCTGGCGCCCCCTGCGCCGACCATCACCATGCCGGCGAACACGAGCGCGTACGCTCCGTTGTTCATCGCCGCGGCGGCGGCTCCGCCCGCGCACCCCCACCCCGTGCTATTCGCTCCCGAGTCCGCGCGCAGGCACAGCTCCTCGGTCGCGACGCGCGAAACGTTGCCGCCGGCGTAGCTGACGACCGCCGTCTGCGCCTCCTGCTTCAGCCCGTACGCAAAGTACGGCAGCGACGCGAAGAAGCTGCCGGCGGTGACGACGAGCATCCCGACGGCGATGTAGCGCGGGCGGTGTCCGCGGCCGCCGTAGTAGCTGACGACGATGAGCGCGGGCAGGTAGCCAATCATGTTCGCGCTGGCGAGCAGCGACGCGCGCTTCGCGTTGATCTGGAACTGCCGCTCGAGCGTCGTCTGTATCGACGCGATGTACGCGTAGATGAGACCGTACAGCAGCAGCAGCGCGCAGTGGCACGCGAGAAAGAAGTGGATGTTGGCGCAGCCGCGCAGCAGCGGCGGCCGCACGCGCCCGCACCCGTACTCTATCAGCTCCTCGCCTGCGCCGCACGAGCCAAACGAATTGTTCGGGTTTGTGTCGTTCACGAGGGCGCCACCGGCGGCGGTTTCGTCCGGCGGCGGCGGCGGCGCGTCGACGTAGTCGCCCGGCGTCGTCTTGCCGTAAATGTGGTGGCAGCCGCCGTTGTCGAGGTGCGAGTTTGCGCGCGGTGGCGGCGGCGGCGGCGTCGCGGCGTTGTCGTCGTTGTCGTCGCCGTCGCCGACGCCCCGGACCGCCTCGTTCTCCATCTTGCTGAACTTGTTGCGAATGTTGTTCATCTTGAGCGAATCGAAGAATCGCTTCACAGTCGACACATCCCTGCAAGGAGACGAAGGTCGAGTTAGTTTTGTGTTACAAGAACGAGGGCGAGTTTTGGGGAGGGCTTCACCTGGTCACATGGTCTAGTATCGTATTCGAGGTTGAATTCGTTTTTTGTATTTATACGAGAACGAGGGCGAGTTTGGGGGGAGGGGCTTCACCTGGTCACATGGTCTAGTATCGTATTCGAGGTTGAATTCGTTTTTTGTATTTATACGAGAACGAGGGCGAGTTTGGGGGGGGGCTTCACCTGGTCACATGGTCTA